TTGAAAGATGGATCTTTGGATTCTTTGTGGTAATGGCTTTATGTTATGACAAGCAAAAGAACCGAAAGGATGCAAACCCAAACCACCAAACTCTGTGGGAGTCCACACTATTCTAACTTGAAAGATGGATCTTTGGATTCTTCATTCATATCTTTAACCCCAAAATAATAATATTGGTATGAGATCATCTCCCAAGGAAAATAAATGGCTTGGTTCAAATGTGATGAACACAATGGGTTCAAATGCTCTATATAACATATTGGAATTATGTATTTCTTTTTTGTCTTTCAAATGATTTGTTGATATATGGATCTCTCTGTTTAGATTATGCTTATTTATTATAGATTACCATGTTGTTTTTGTACATTAACTCTGTTGATCGCAAGTGCAGGTAAAACAAAGTTGGGTAATTTCAAATATTCAATGGATTCAAAGCATGACCTAGCGAATGAGATGACATGACTTGTCTTACCAAATGGAACTACCAATATTCTGAACCTATCGAGGCACATCAGATGAAACGAGTTTGTATTATTTTGAATTGTGTTCAGTGGAAATATCATTTTTAGGAGCAAAACAATTATGGAATTTGAAATTTTTTGTTTTTGTTATTATTTTTTGGCTGCATCTCGTAATGTCGCTTTCAACTGGTATTCTAAGTTCTTAACTGTATACTGTTGTCAGTATATTTTTGTTGAACATTATCATATTTTCATTAAAGAGATGCTCTAGTCATGCTTCATATCTTTGCTCTGTGTTCATTCTGTTCGACGCTATTTTTGTTTTTTGGGTACGTTTTTGCAGCAATTTTGAGAGGTGTTTTTTATGCTTTGAGAGTTAGATGGCTATATTATGAGTTAAAAATAAGCTTTATAAAAAATTAATTTGTTTGACGTATTCTTAACTATTCGACTTTTCTAATAATTTGCTAGAGTGACAAAAGGGAGTTTTTTGGCATTAAATGTGTTTGTTATCAAAAATATTAGAGACCTCAAATCTTGTCCTTGAATTTTTACTAAATACTCGCATGACATTTTTCCAAGTGGCATTGGCATAAATTTTTTGACTTTATGTTCTCTCTTGATATTTTTAGTTAATTTTTTTTCCCAAATTTAATAATTTTTAATTTTTTTTAAAGGCCTTTTAGTCAATAGGATCAAATCGAGTCGAATTTTGTAGAACTTGAGCTCGATTTATTTTTTTTATCAAGCTTGATTATTCAATTCAAGCTCGACTTGCTAATATGAATCAAAGTTCAAACTCGGCTTGAAACTTGATAGTAATTTTTTTTACTATATATAAATAATATATTTTTATATTTTAATATGATTTATATTATTTAACATATAAATCATATATGTATACTATTATGTATTCATATTTTTATATTATTTAATATATAAATAATATATTTTTTCTATAATTTAAATAAAGATAAATGAATCTAGTTTATTTGACTTAGGTTCATTTACAAAACGAGTCTAAAAGTCAAACTCGAGCTCTTTTATTTATTTAACGAACTAAGTCGAATCGAGTTCATGAACAGTTCGGATTGTTTGCAACCCTATCTAGAAATAGTAAAAAGTAAAGTTAATTTTTTTTACTAATTTAATTTTATTTATGGAATTTTAATTTAGAAATAATTAAAAAGTAAAAATTTTATAAAAAGAAATTCACAAAAGAGAAAAAAAAATGAAATTAATTATGATTAGCATCTGTATACTTTTATCAAAATCTTCATTTAGTCTCACTTTTCATTAGTGACAATTAATTTTGTACATTTTACGTAAAGTTGTAATGTTATTTTCCCATCTATCTATCGTAATTGAAGCTTGATGGAGATTTATATGCGAGCCACACCTCCTATTTTTCTTGCCTTATTAGCGAGTAACTATTCTATATTTTAGAAATTTTATATTGGCTATATATTCAATCAATAGTATTAGTAAGGGACTAAATGAATACATGACCCTAATAATAAAGAGAAAGTGGATAAAGTATAACATTTCATTGGTTAGGCACATAAACACGTGGTGTTCTGGACCCAGTAGATAATTTCTGCTTATTAGCACTTTTATTGAGATTTGAAAAAAATGCCTTAAGCCTCTCAATTTTGATATAGTTACATTGACATCGCTTTTAGTAAGGTTAAATGGACCTAAAATAATGCAGATGGTGTGAAAATATTAAAAAATAAAAACAATATAAAGTATATATTTTCATGTAAAAAATATGATAACATTATTTTTTTAATCTATATAACTAACAAATTATTAACAAAAAGGTGGCTAAATGTTATATGAATTAAAATCTCAAATTGTGATGCTTACTGTATTTTTTTCAAATCTCAATTGATGTCTTTATAATTTACCATTTTTTATTATCAAATTCTCATTTTAGTTCTTGTATTTTTATTAAAATTTCACTTTAATCTCTTTATTTTTAATTTTCATTATCATAATTGAAAATAAACAAATCAAAGTGAAATTTTAACAAAATAAAACTATTTTATCATACAGTCATCATAGCAGCTCCAATCAATTAATATAGAAAAATAGTAACAACAATCCTAAAACTGTCACTAATCTTGCTATATGAAAAAGTGCATAGATATATGTGAAAAATATATTAATTTTAAAAAATATATTGAAATTATAAATATTTTACCATTATGTTTCTTAAAAAAAATTTATATGATTGTTGTTTTGATAATTGGGTATGTGAGCTATATTAACTAATTTTGAGACTATCCCACCACCCCATTTGCATATAAAATGTATATTATTAGGTAAATAAATATTAAAACTGAGATCTGAAGGGAATATAGAGTGAAGAAGCATAAGTGGATTTTCATTTAAAATTTTTGCGTTTATATTTTTTGGGTTGTCCCTTCTTATTGGGCCATTTTATTTGATTGGGCCTTCAAAGTATGTCCATGTTGATGGATATTCATTCAAGACCGAACATAGCTTTACCTTGAATTTTGCCTTGAATGAATGGGCATTGTTGGCACAAAAATTTAAAATTCCTTATAGACAGACATGTCAAAGAGCAAGAACATGAGCAATCATGGTCCAAGAATCGTGGGCGTGAAGATGGTGATTTGGAGAGAGAAATCAGAGGCATGACACATGGTTGTTTTAGAAACTAAAGGCAGTTGCAGTAGTTATAAGTCATGGACTAGTGGGAGATGCTAGCAAATGGACACATGACCACATCTCTTGGCCAATGGAGCAACATAAAAGTTGGAAATTTGAAGGAGAAAAGAATTTGCAACCTAATTTACAACACTTGTGAAATTTAGATGTAGTATAACTTATTTAGGAGTAATCTAAATCTATGTAGCTAAGAGTAATTTTTAATAGTTAATTTCAGTTCTTGTAACTTATCTCAGGTTGATCGATTGTAATGCTTAAGTCATGTAATTTAATTCTTATAATTAAATGACAAGTTTAAGTATTATTAATTAAGTTTCAGTTGTTGTTTTACTTTGCTTCTCTTCACATAAAAATTTCCAAAGAAATTCTTGCATCTATCAAGGTATAGAACACCAATCATAATTGCTTGATCTATTGTTGTTTGTAAAAATTGATCTTCTCTGTAGAATCAACATTGTCGATTTGGCCAAAACCATATTTTTGCCAACAGGGTGACATAATTTTCAAAATATCCCTAATAATAATATGGTAAAGTGTGCATTAATATGAACATTCACATTATCAACGTGAACATTCACGTTATCAAATTTGTTTAATATGCATATTCACATCACCAAATTACTAAAGATTCATAAAATATTTGTAAGGATAAAATTGTTCATAGAACTACAAAAATATCTTATGAACTATTTAAAATAGAAGTACTTGAAATAAGATTTTTTTTAATAAATTTCCATTCAACAAGAGTCCAAAATTACTAATTACTTATTTTCAATCATTAAACAATTTAAATATTTTCAATAAAAAAATATTTAAAATTCAATTAAATTACAAATACGTTATTTGAGATTTACTTAAAATATAAATTGTTTATGTAGTTATGAAAATTATAAATATCAACTTATAATTTGAAGGAGAAAAGAATTTGCAACCTAATTTACAACACTTGTGAAATTTAGATGTAGTATAACTTATTTAGGAGTAATCTAAATCTATGTAGCTAAGAGTAATTTTTAATAGTTAATTTCAATTCTTGTAACTTATTTCAGGTCGATCGATTGTAATGCTTAAGTCATGTAATTTGATTCTTGTAATTAAATGACAAGTTTAAGTATTATTAATCAAGTTTTAATTGTTGTTTTACTTTGCTTCTCTTCACATAAAAATTTCTAAAGAAATTCTTGCATCTATCAAGGTATAGAACACCAATCATAATTGCTTGATCTATTGTTGTTTGTAAAAATTGATCTTCTATGTAGAATCAACATTGTCGATTTGGCCAAAACCATATTTTTGCCAACAGGGTGACATAATTTTTAAAATATCCCTAATAATAATATGGTAAAGTGTGCATTAATATGAACATTCACATTATCAACGTGAATATTCGCGTTATCAAATTTGTTTAATGTGCATATTCACATCACCCAGTTACTAAGGATTCATAAAATATTTGTAAGGGTAAAATTATTCATAAAAATATAAGAATATCTTATGAACTATTTAAAATAGAAGTACTTGAAATAAATTTTTTTTAATAAATTTCCATTCAACAGGAGTCAAAAATTACTAATTACTTATTTTCAATCATTAAACAATTTAAATATTTTCAATAAAAAAATATTTAAAATTTGATTAAATTATAAATACGTTATTTGAGATTTACTTAAAATATAAATTGTTTATGTAGTTATGAAAATTATAAATATCAACTCATTAAAAAAATTTACTTAACATAATCAAAAGAAAAAATGAAATTCTTAATTACTTTCTTATATAATGATAAAATCAATTAAATTATTATATAAGACCATTCCCATTTTAACCAGGCTTTTGTAATTTATTTTTTTATTTATAAAATAAATGAGAGCTCAAGCGTTAGAAGAAGGAAGAACCACGGCGATGTCGGACTTTCTCTCAGACGAAATTGTGGTGGAAATCCTCCAGAGGCTACCCACCAAAACCCTAATCCAATTCAGGTCTGTTTCCAAATCCTGGTACTCTCTCATCACAAACCCTAATTTCATCAATACCCATCTCAATTACTCACTCACTTCCAATACCTACAAAAGCAGTCATGATAATCTCCTCATGATAGTTAGGCAATGTCTTTGTGATTTACATACTAGAACAGAGCACTGTACACTCTATATTGATAGTAATGAATCATTTGAGGTATATAAACGATTTGTAATCCCAATAAAGAGTTGTCATCTCATCACAGTTTGGGATGCGAAAGGTTTGTTTTGCTTTTTCGAACAAGATCGTTTTTTGCTTTGGAACCCATCGATTAGAAAGTTCATGGCTATGGCCAAACCTACAATCAAGACATCTTTTAATCATGGGTTCGGATTTGATCCACAGAATAACGATTATAAGATGGTTAGAATAGCCAAAAATTATTCAACTAAGGAGGAGCCAACAACACCCATTGAGGTTTACTCCCTTAATGCAGGCTCGTGGAAAATGTCTAGCACAGCGATCAACTCTTAGCCGGTTTGGATTACTATATGTGATACGGTGCGATTCGCTGTTTATTTAGAAGGGGCGGTTCATTTTGCTGTGAATATGAAGCAATCCAATGATCCATTGATTTTGTCGTTCAATTTGTCTGATGAGGTGTTTCAAACGATGCTGTTACCAGATAGCATTGTAGGCCCGAGAACTCAGATTGGTATTTCAGTATTTGGGGAATTGCTTTCTCTGTTATGTTACGAACATACTGCTGGGATCAAGTCTTGTTCCATTTGGATAATGAAAGAGTACGGCGTAGTTGATTCTTTGTATAAACAGTTCAAAATTGGTATAAGTGGAGGAATTACGCGTGTATTAGGTATCCGAAATAATGGTCATGTATTATTGGTGGTGGCAACAACATCAAGCGGGGGTTGGATGCTTTCTTCATATGACCCTTCAAGCCAACAAATTAAGAATTTGGGAATTTACACTACTGCAAACCCTTTTGTTGTTGATACTTACGAGGAGAACCTTATCTTACTCAACAAACCAAATGCTGCATTTTCTAGAAGGCGAGTGAGCAAGAGGAAGATGTAAGAAAGGTAAAGACTTGATTCAACTCAATTTCAACATTTACTTAGTTTTATCTTATTCATAGTATATACTAGATTTGGTTGCTTGCCTATATGTTAAACCCTTATTTATCAAAAAAAATATATGTATATGTTAAACCTTTAATCTGCTGATTTTGGATGTTGAATTGTTCTGTAATGTTATGAAGACCAGTCAGCATTGTTAAATACTGTTTTGTGGTAGTGGTCAATAATTAAACATTAGCAAGTGCATCAAATGGTAACGGCTTGAAAGATGGATCTTTGGATTCATTGTGGTAATGGCTTTATATTATGACAAGCAAAAGAGCCGAAAGGATGCAAACCCAAACCACCAAACTCCATGGGAGTCCACACTATTCCAACTTGGAAGATGGATCTTTGGAGGATTCTTCATTCCAACTAAATTTCATACCTTTAACCCCAAAATGATAATATTGGTATGAGGTCATATGTTGGTGGGAAAATTGGCCTTACCTGACCTAACCTAACTACTGTTAAGGAAAAGAAATGGCTTGTTTCAAGTTTGACGAACACAATAAGTTCAAATGCTCTATATAACATATTGGAATAATATATTTCTTTTTTGTCTTTCAAATGATCTGTTGATATGTGGATCTCTCTGTTTTGCTTTTAGAAGCATTTAGATTAAGCTTATTTATTATAGATTATCATGTTGTTTGTGTACATTAACTTTGTTGATTGCAAATGCAGATAAAACAAAGTCGGATAATTTCAACTATTCAATGGATTCAAAGCATGATCTAGAGGATGACTTAACATATGACTCGTCCTTACCAAATGGAACTACCTCTGATATTCTGATCTTTTTGAGGCACGTCAGATGAAATGAGTTTATATTGTTTTGAATTATGTTCAGTGGAAATATCATTTGTAGGAGGAAAACAATTACTGAATTTGAAGTTCTTTTGTTTTTATTATTATTATTTTTGCAAAATATTGTAATGTCGCTGGCAATTGGCATTCTAAGATCTTAATCATATATTTTTGTCCGTATATTTTTGTTGGAACATCATCATATTTTTATTAATGAAGTGTTGGAGTCATGCTTCATATCTTTGCTCTATGTTCATTCTGTTTAACACTAATTTTTATTTTTTTTGGGTACCTTTTGCAGAGATTTTGAGAGGTGTTCTTTATTCTTTGAGAGTTAACTAAAAAATTAGATTAGAGGCTAAAAATAAGCTTTATAAAAAAATTAATTTGTTTGGCACATTTTTAACTCTTGGACATTTCTAATGATTTTCTAAAGTGATTAAAGTGAGCTTTTTGGCATTAAACAAAAATGTTAGATATCTCAAATATTTTACTAAAAATTTTACCATACATTTATATGACTTCTTTCCAAATGGCATCCACATAAATTTGACTCTTTTGCTTATTCCCTCTTTATATTTTTAGTTAATTGTTTTCCAAATTTAATCATTTTTAGTTTTTTTAAAGCCCTAATTTAGAAGTAGTCAAAGTAAAAATAAAATATTTAGGGTAAATTACAAATACATCTATAGGTTTGATTAAAATATAAATCGTCCTTTATGGTTTTAGAAATTACATTTTATCCCCTGAAGTTTCTAATTTCATAACAAATCGCCCATTTTATTAATAAATTATCAAGTCAATTAACAGTTTTTAATAATGTTATAAATATGTTTCAATTAATAATTTAGATAATTTTATTATTGTATGGGAGAATAATTATGAATTTTTTTTATAGTTAATTCTGTTTAAAATAAAAATTTAACAAGGGAATATTTGTAATTTCTTAAATTACAGGAATAATCTATACTTTAAATGAACCTCAGGGACTGTATTTGTAATTTATCCAAATGTTTAACAATTATTTTTTCACGGTTTTATAATTTAGAAATACTTAAAAAGTAAACAAATTACAAAATAAAAAAATATAAAAAAAGTCACAAAAGAGAAAAATTAAGTTAATCGTACTTAAGCTTCGTTTGGCATTGGTTACGATAGCCAACTTTTTTGTGGTAGGACTTTTTTAGCTTGGCTTTTTTAGCCTCATTTGGTTTTTGTTTTTGGACTTTTTTTTATTTTTGTGAGAGAAAAAGTATAATAATTATGATTTAGATATAATATTTTGTCACCTATTTTGTTTTCTTGTACTTTTTTAGCCCCAAAATATTTACCAAACGAGGACTTAGCATCTTTATGATTTTATTAAAATTTCACTTTAATCTCTTTTTTTAATACTGATAATTAATTTTATACATTTTTAATCAAATTAATAATGTTATTCTTTTATCCATCTGTTGTAATTGAAGCAGATAAAGATCAACACGTGAGTCCTATTTAATATTTTCTTGCCTTATTAGCACTTGTATATATATATATATATTATCAAAATTTTACTTTAAATTTTTCATTTTTATCAACATTTTATTTTAATCTCTCAATTTTTAATTTCTATAATCATAATTAAATAAATCGAAGTGAAGTTAATAGGACAAAACTATATCATCATACGATTATCATCGTAGACTCGTAGCAGCTCCATCAATTAATACAGAAAAAAAGGTAAGATAATGTTGGCTATACATTTTGTACTAAGCCAGTGACAATTCGACACGTGACAAAGTGAGGGTAATATGGAGAGACCAGGTAGGTCTTCGATCCTGATCATACACGTGGCAATTAATATTGGTTGTTATAAGATCTTAGTAGTAGCGGATCAACAAAGATACGTACAGTGACGTGGCTTCAACGGTTGCTCACATTCAAATTCGAATATAAGAGGGAAGCCTAACTGCAAGTAAAGGCGTAGTGGAGCTACTTATAAGGTAGCATGATCAGCAATTACGGAGGAGCAGTTCGACGGTTTGAAGTACAATTCGATGGTTATCTTCGGAAAGTATAAATAGCAGGAAGGATCTCAGAGAAAAGAGGAGGACGATCAAAAGAATTACTTTACATATTCCAGTATTATTTCCTGTCCTTTATGCTTTTGTACTTTAAGTTTCTGCGCTGCACTTCATTTGTAGAAGTAGTTTTCGAAGTATATTGCCGCTGTAATTCTCTACGGAACTAAGATCATTGTAAGTTTTTTCATACTAATGAAATGCTTCAGTTTATTTAACTGTTCTTATGCTCAAGTTCTTTGAAGTCAAATTACTAGTAAGCCACCAGTAAAAGTCCTCTTTAGTGAGGCCGAAAGAACCATAACACAATCGTCTGAATAATTGTTTGGCAATTATAATTCTATAAGGACTGATTGATCCTTGCTGGCACGCTCATAATTACAAAAGTAACCTTCGAACGCCAAAAAGCCAACATATATTTTTGGCACGCCCGGTGGGACCTTTTAAAAAATGGCTAGACGTAGGAGACAAGGAGAAAATGAACGTTTAGAAGAAGGCGTGGAAGGGGAAGTGGAGACATCCAATCCAGAGGATAATGTGATAACACATCCTGTGGAGACTCCTATCCTATCAGAACCCATGGTCGAACAGACCAATACTTCAGAGCAAATACCATTTGTTCGTAATAATGGACGAAACCAAGGAATTGGACCATCCAGTGTCCCATCTACTCAGCCAGTCAATCCGTGGGGCGGCTTGGTAGATGCCATGAGACAACAATTAATAAACACAATGGAAAGGTGGGCAGTATCCTTTTTGGATCGAATGAATAACCACCAACCAATGAATGTAAGACACATAGAGGAGGTGAATGTCCCTCAGCAAAGATTGGCTAGAGACAAACAGCCTATGCAAGCTAATGGACATTCTAATGGTCAAACCAGTAATCAGATTCATGAAAGATTACCACCTCAGTCTTGGTACGAACCCATTTCAAGGCCTGTAGCAGGCCAGAATGCCTCAATGTTCAACAGTGAAGCCATGCAAATTGGTGGATCTGGCCCAGTACAAGAAAATGGCATAAGAATAACTCCAAATCCCACATTCGAAGCCATACCTGGCACCAGGGGGTACAATAATCCCTTATTCGAATTTATACCCGGGGGGTTGGAAGGTTTTCCTACAAGTGGAAGGGATACAATACCTGTTCCAGCACATTTCGTGGGTCCTTTCGCAGGACAGGCTCAAAGAGGTTAC